ACAACACCGGTGAAAGTTACTCTGAGTTAAGCAATAAGAAGAGCGAAAAGGGAAACCCACATCCTGATCACATTTAATTGGAGGCAATCAAAGAACATAAAAAATACCAAAACACACACTCAGTTAAGTATTAAGGCCACAGATAAACATGTCTAAGAAGCAAAAGCAGATGAACATATCAGCACATGTCCAGAAACAAGATAAAATGTCTGAGACAATGACTTAGAGGTAGACCTGGACTTCATTCTGGAAGAAGGAAAGGCCTTGGAAATACCTGAGAAGGAATTCAGAAAAAAATGATTATAAAGTTCCAAAACAGTTTAGAATGCAGTTGAGAAAAATAAGGAAGAAATCAGGAAAGCACTACAGGAACAATAAAATAAGATAGATACAGCATTGGAAACAATTCAAAACCTAAGAAACAGGTCCAAATGATCAATAATGGAATATTAGAAATAGACAATACACTGAAAGGGCAAAAGAGTAGAATAGAAGAGATGGAAGGCAGAACTAGTGAGCTGGAAGGCAAATCTCTCAATACCGCTAAAAGAAGAGCAAACAGAAAAAAAGGATTAAAATAAACCTTAAGAAGGTCCAAGATTCATGTTGGACAATATGAAGAGGAATAACTTGAGAATTATCAACATTCCAGAAAAGGAAGAATCACATAAGTCCACAGAGGAAACAGTTTAAGAACTTCTGGAAGAAAGTTTCTCTAACATCCTGAAAAGTGAAAAGACACACATTCAAGAAGCTCAACAAACCCTAGGACGGAAAGACCCCAAAAGAAAATCACCGAGACATATTATAATCAAGCGCTCAAAAATCAAAGATAAGGAGACAGTCCTGAAAGCAGCTAGGGAAAAGAGAAGGGTTACATACAAGGGCAAGCAAGTCAGATAAAGTTCAGATCTGTCAGCAGAAACCAGGCAGGCAGGCAAGAAGGCAATAGGGAGACATATATAAAACCTAAAGAAAAATCCTGCCGAACAAGAATCCTTTATCTAGCAAAGCTATCAATCAAATACGAAGGTGTCATCAAAACATTCCAGGATAAACAGTAGCTAAGGGATTTTTCCAAAGCCAACCCTATGCTACAAAACATCCTCAAGGGAGTTCTGTGGACTGAAAACCAGCAAAAACAGACAACAACCAGAGATTGACATACGTGGCAGCACCTCCCGGAACTAAATTGAAAGAAGGAAGAGTCAAGAACAGAACAAAACTATAAGAGCAAACTCAGAGAATCTGGAAGGTCAGTCTATGATCAAAACAATTACAATGTGAACGAAGGTAAACACGTAAGAACAGAGATCCAGAGGTGAGAAGGTCAGGTAGATTACAGGATAAAATAGACTGTACTAACTGGAGGAAAAAGTTAATGGAATATAATGTAACCTCAAAGAAAATTAACACTTCACAACATACCAAGAAAATGAAAATCCACAAAGAACATGGAAGCATTAAAACTATGAGGAAACTCACAAGAAAGAACACAGAAAGCATGAACTCAGCACAGGAAGACACACAGAACAAAGAAAGCAGCAACATCACACAAAAAAACCCTAAAATAATGGCAATAATTAATCCATACCTATCGATAATTACACTGACTGTAAATGGATTAAATGCACCAGTTAAGAAATGGAGGGTAGCAGAATGGGTAAGAAAACAAGATCCTTCAATATGCTGTCTGCAAGAGACATATCTTATACAGAGCCCAAAACAGATTAAAAATTAAAGGATGGGAAAAGATATACCAAGCTAATTGCAATCAAAACCGAACAGGAGTGGCAGTACTAATCTCTAATAAAATTAACTTTAAGGAAAAAACCCAGCATAATAATGATGGACATTATCTCATGATTAAAAAGACAACTGAACAACATGACATAACCATAAAAAATACCTATGCTCCAATGAACGAGCTCCAAAATATATAAAGCAAACGCTAATAGATTTGAAGAAATAGATAAACCTACAATAACCATGGGTGATTTTAATACACTGCTTTCAAAAAATGGATAGGATAGAACAAACAGAAAGGAACTTGACAAAGACAACGAGGAACTGTGTGTTGATGACTGACTGGCGGTGGGGGGGCAGACTTGCAGGGTATATCCTTTGGTTGCTTTATGATGATGCATGGAGGGGAATGGGGGAATGTAACCATGGCAATGAAATGATGTATGATAGGATGAATGTACAGCTAATGTAAACTATCACATAATTCACAATAAAACATTAAAAAAAATCAAGAAGGGGTCAATTTAATACCTTTCCATCCTTTTCAGTTGTTTTGTTGAATTTGCCTAGAAATCTGCACAAGAGCTAAAATATTCTTTAAAAGATGCATGTTACATATAGGTCTATTTAGCATTCTTAATATGTTGGTAGCCACCTTCACTGAAATCTTTTGGAAAACAGAATAGACTGTTTGAAGGAAATATTCTTTAATGTACCTTCAGTTTGTGATTTCTTGCATTTTTTTGGTCCTGTATATTAAATTATATCAGAAATAAACTGCTGTTTTGTCAAATACTAAAACACTGAACTGAAGTTATACTAATAACTAACATAAAATTGTCTGTCAATCCACCTTATAAGGAAAAAAAAAAAGAAATAAGACTAAAGAGAAAAATAACTAAAATGAAAAAACAAAGACAAAATTCAAATTTACTTTGAAAAATCTGATTTTATTTTCTGAATCAAAAAGAAGTGTGTTCATGTTCAATTTAGCATGTTTTAACTTTCCAGATGTTAACAGTGCTGAGAATTCTCTAAAATGTAACATCTAACACCATATTTCAAAGAAAGAAGTTTAAAAGAAATTCTTCTCAATTGTGCTGGCAATTCTAATTTAAAAATAAAATAATTTTTAACAATTATTGGGAATGTATGTGACAATGGTTTTTAAAGAGTTAAAATCAGATCTTTTTTAAAACAAAAAATTAAAACTATCTGGGGTTCATACCTGACAATAAATCAAAGTAAACATAATACTTCCCCACCTCCAAAATTACCACATGTATACTTCAACTTGGAATAGGAAAATTACAAAATGAAGCTTTTAAATTATACTAAATAATATATTACTACACCATTTTAACTGTCATGTTTGCTAGGAGAATTATGAAATTAAAACCAAATTCTACATTTAAGGGACAAATGGTAAATGCTGTTTCATTGTTTAAGAGTCCATTCCAGACTTTGCTGTTTTCTACTCCTGTATTTTACAATCACATCCTAATAGGCCAATAGTCAATCTGTTCACGTGAAATGAGTGAAATGAACTGATTCTATATGGTTCTTCTAAGAAATCCCAGAAGTCAATTGGGTAGGGGTATTTATAAGGACATGATTTAGGAACACTTTAGAACTGCAAAGCGAATCCATTCATAGGCTATCCATGTGACTGGAGCATGTCCAGCATGCAGGCAAACTTCATTTGTTCAAATTAAGGTATAATTGATTCCCCCCCCCCCAAAAAAAACCACACACAGACAACCCAAACTTAACATTAACAGAAACTGTATCATTAGAACTAGCCTTCTTTTGTTGCTTATTTCACGTAAACAGATTTTCTCTCACACAAAAACAGATTCTAAGGCCAATAATATTTCTAATTCTTGTCATTCCCAAAATTGGGGTTACTATTTTAAAGCCATTATTAGTAAAGAATATTTTGAAATGATGAAAAATAGCCCCTCAGAATCTACATTTTGTATTTAGTGTGATACAATGTCTAATTCCTTAATTTTTCAGATTTACAAAGAACTCATGTCTGGGTATTATTTGATATTTTTTCACATAATAATAACCAACAGGATTCATAAATATGATTTTCTGACACAGGCCGTAAAGTCTGCTAAACATTCATGAAATACCAACAACTCCTCTTTCAAGTATAAAATATGGATGAGAATTGGCAGTTATGATTAGTTTTTCAATACAAACATAAATTTAAGTCTTGATTTTTCCCCCCAACCTTTTAAATAGTAAAAATTTTATTTCACTTTCCAATTACAATAAACAAAAAGACTAATAAAAATCACCCAACTGGCAACAAGTCCCATATTCCAATGTTATTTTTAACCTAACAATTATAACTTACTGCCAGTGATTATCAATATATACCTGCTTGTTTTATCAAATAAGCACTGGTCAGTTATATATACGAATAATTTGTAAGAGTGGTACTTGGCACTGGGTTACTTAGTACTTCCAGAATAAACAGAAGCACTTAGAAAATACCGGCTCTTTAGCAGTTTTTGCTTTGTAATTTGAATTTCCACAAGTAGTTTTTAAGTGTTACTGTTCTATCGATAGATTTTAGTGGGTCTAGTCCTAGTTGACAGAGATGTTGTTGTTGTTGTTGCTGAGTGCCATCGAGTCGGGTCCGACCCATAGCGACCCTGTACAGGGTTTCCGAGGGTGTAAATCTTTACGGGAGTAGAAAGCCTCATCTTTCTCCCGCGGAGCGGCTGGTAGTTTCGAACCGCTGACCTTAAGGTTCGCAGCCCGATTCATACCAGAGCTCCTTAGTTGACAGAGATAGTTCATCTAAAAAAACACAAATAAATCCCCAAGCCACATGGTGATGAAATACATTTGTTTTTTTATATATCATATGGAAACACTTCCAGACATACCAAAATGAAAGTATTGTAAATAAAGTTCATCTTATGTACCCCAAGAAGAAAAGTTCAAGAATCCAAAAATCAAAAGACCCACACTGCAAGCAAAAGCCCACACAAAACACTTCAGTTTTGAGCCTAACATTCCCTCTTAGATGTTAATACGAGCAAGGCTTTAAGGTACTTAAAGCTGTAGCAGAAACCGTTCAAAGGACCACACTACTGAAGGTATGCACTACAGGGTTCAGCGGCTGCCCACCCATCCCTCACCACCCCCCACCCCAGTAATATGTAAAAGCGCCTGTGAAAGTTTTTTCTTATGCTAATAAAGGCCTACCACCTAGTGCGCTAACGACTAAGACCAGCAGCATTAGAGCAGTAAAGTGGACATAGGAAGCCTACAGGAAGGATCTAAATGACGACTCAGAAGAAACAATGCAGCAGACAGGCCCCCTTTGCCCTCTTGTTTTGTCTACAGGGAAGTGGTTGAATTAAACAGTCAGATTTACCCACATTAATAGAAGTGTAACAAAGCTTCCCTAGGACACCAGACTAAAACCTGACCTTTCCAGCCAAAGGGCAGAGAGATGCCTCTTCCATATCATGGAGCTGAATGTGTTGCAATAAAGGGAAAAAGAAAGCAGGAGGGACATGAAGGGAACCAGTCTCGGCGTTTATCGAACTGTCACACCAAGTTTCTCCAGCACACGGACACCTTTCTCTTGGTATTCTTGTCGGGTCATCCAAAAGTTGTCTTTGTCTTTCATGATGTCAGCTAGAACTGCGCCACCCAGGAACACCATATGCTTTCTGCGAGGTGGGTCTTCAATGCGGATCTTAAATTTCTAAAGGAGAAAGAGGGTATTATAAAATGTCACATGTGCTCAGGCATTCTGCTTTATGAAAATGACCTTTTCATATATATTAGGTATTCTTTTGTTGAATTCTCATAACAGTCCTGTGGGGTAAGCAGGACAGCACGATTTGGCACTGAGGTTCAGAGAGAGACAGATTCAATCAGATTAGCTGCCCAAAGTTCATAGCTAGGATCTCCTACCTCCTCCTCTCCCCCAGTGTGACTGATGGAAAAGCATTCTGACTGGAACAATAAATAAGATCACTCTACTGACACTCCTGGTGTGGCGCTGTGGGTTAATGTGCAAAGCCATTTGAACTGCAAGGTTGGCGGTTCAAGCTCACCAGCTGCTCCTCAGAAACCCTATACAGGGTCACTATGGGTTGGAGTTGAATTGATGGCACTTAACAACAACTGACAGGCCAAGAGTTAGAGTCCTAACTATGCAAGGGTTTCACCAGCCAGGGGGCAGTTTCCACTTGTTACATTTCTTTGTGATTTAATGTCTCTAATTCTAATCTAGAGTCCTGGTGTGGCACTGTGGGTTAATGCATCAGACTGCAAAGCCATTTGAACTGTAAGGTGGGCAGTTCAACTCACCAGCTGGCTCCTGGGAAACCCTGGTACAGGGTCGCTATGGGTCGGAACCGACTCTACGGCACTTAACAACAACAAAAATTCTAATCTAACATAATAAAAGAAAACTGAAGTTCTTTTCTTATAAGCAAAGTTTACTTGTTACTGACTCAAATTCAGTAATATGTTCTCAAAATAAGACCAAATATGGTCAAAACAAATCATGGAGATGCTGGAGAAAATGAACCCAGTAACCAAAATGAAAAACTACTAGGGAAAGTTCTATACTCGGTAGCCACCAAGTTAATTGTCCAGACAAAGGGTACCCCCCAAAACTGTATGGTCAGTAACAATGAAAAGAGAAACCTTAAAATGACATAGCAGTTTTTATTCACAGGGTCACAAATTCTGCAAAAGTTTAACTATGTCACTCTAAATTATTTGTCATGTCACATAAATGCACTATATCCAAGAAAAAAAACAAAACCCAAAAAACCCAAAGCCATTGCTATGAAGGTGATTCTGACTCATAGCAACCCTATATAGGCTCCTGAGGATGTAAATCTTTACTTGAACAGACAGCCTCCTTTTTCTCCCTAGGAGCAGCTGGGTGGGTTTGAACTGCAGTCCAGAGTTATCCTACAGGGCCACCAAGGGCTCCTAACCTAAATAGGAATCAGATAATATGTAACACAGAAAAAATTAAGTTTACTTAATTCTAAAGCTAATCTACTGTAATTGTTCTAGTTACTTTTTTGCTCTAAGGAGGTGGTTGGCAAACATTTCCTATAAATAGTTGAGGTTGTGGTGGTCTCTCTCGCAATATCCATCGCCTGGTGTAGCAGAAAGTCAGCATAGACAATATGGATACAAATGGGCCTGGCTGTGTTCCAATAAAACTTTACTTACAAAACAGCTAGCCTAGCTGACTTACCCTTGTTCTAAGGGAAACTTAGCTAGGCCCCAAGGATACTACTTTCCGAGAAGCTTTCTTAACTAACAGGCTGTTCTTTCTCAGACTACCTTTCTATCCTCAGGAGTCCTGTTGGCCCTGTAGGATAAGCACTGGACTGCTAACTGCAAGGACAGCAATTCAAACCCATCAGCTGCTCTGCAGAAGATGAGGCTTTCTGCTCCCACGAATATTTACAGCCGTGAAAACCCGAGAAAGGATCACTATGAGTTGGAATCAATTAGATGACAGTGGTTTGGTTTTTCCCCACCTCCCTAAACTCTGAAATTCATTCTGTCAGACTACACTGCTCCATCTATCACTCCTCTGCTGAAGTCACCTCGAGACTCTGGATCCCCCAGGTCAATTCTTCCTAAATCTGCTCCTGGTGTGGACATGGGGCTGTCTTCTCACCACCATTTCCTCTCCTTATTCTTAGTGACTTTGTCCTTCTCTCTCTTTATCATACTCGGCAAAGCACCAACTGTGCTTTTCAACTTTCTCCTCTGCTCCTGCCCTCCAGCAGCTGAACAAGACAAGCTAGAAACTCACTTTACTTGTTTCCAATGTATCACCAAACTCTTTCATACCTTTCTCTACTCTCTAAGGTGACCATTTCACACCGTCTCCTGTTTTACACCTCTACTCTCTCTTTCTACTTTCAACAAACAGCCATAAAGGCCATGAGTTGCTGCTATTGTTTAAGCATGCTCTACTTTTGGATTATATTTTTTATTACACATTGTAATAAAAAGTTATACATACATATGTTCATGCTCCACTACTTAGCACATCTCCATCTTTCTCCTGGAAGTTACTACCATAGCCTCCTAACCGGTCCTTCTCCATCCACCTTTGTCCCCTACACATGGTAAGCCCTTGGATATTCTTTCCATCACTGCATACATTATATTTACACTGAAAGCAGAGCTTTTGTATTTGTTCACCCTAGCACCTAGTCCAGTGTTTGGTACCCAGGATCTCAAGATATAATGACTAGTCACCTGTAATGATTTTTAATTATATATATAATTAATCAAATCAGAAAAAATGAGTGAAATACTTAGACAGCTTTTTAAGCCTTTTAACTGGCTAACGTACCTGAATACTCCCTCAACTTAATTCCAACAATTTGAGTCATAGATGAAAGATACACATTGTTGTTCTTGTTAAGTGATCTCGAGTCAGTTCCGACTCATGGTGACCCTGTAGAGGGTTTCTGAGGCTTTCAATCTTTTTGGGAGAAGAAAGCCTCATCTGTCTCCTGCAGACTGGCTGGCAGGCTCGAACTGCAGCCCTTGTGCATAGATACAACAGGGGTGCCTCCAAATCATGCAGGACCCTGTAATATGTGGTCACCAATTTCAAAGTCAAGTGAAACAAAACTCAGAGATGAGATGATTCTAGACTGAGTGCAGAGAGCATGAGAGTGTAGCATCCACAGTCCAGAGTTTATTAAAAAAAAAAAAAAGAGAGAGAGAACATTTTCTTTCTACTCTACAAATCAACCATTACCAACTACAGCCTGTTTCTAGACTCAAGACAGTTACTGGGGATGCAGCGAACTGGAGACACAGATGTTTTACAATCCTACTGGGGAGATAAAACACAAAAAATAACCCGAAAAAAGCTAGACTAAGAAACAGGAGACTGTATAAGAAGAGAACTGAAGGCTGCTTACATAGTCAAAAAGTTAAGTTTAAGATAAAATCCAAGTGGAGAACTGATCTCTCTACAGGAGTCAGCTGTTCAGAGAGGCACTCTGGATTCCAGGCCAGCTGATAAAGATGAGCCAAATCATTTGGGCCGGAACCTAGTCACTTCCAACAGTTCACTGTGACCATTCTGGAACAGCGCCTACCCTGAGCCATTATGTCTTCCCATCTCTTCAGGGAGGCATTAGGGATTTGCTTACAAAGAGTTCTTGCTCCCTCTAGTGGTTGTCAAGATTTACTTTACAGAATTTTTAAAGTATGTTTAACAGTTGATTATTGACTGATACTTACAGAAAGTTTTTCAACATCTCCCTTTAAAACCCGTTCCAGGTAAAGCTGTTTAAGTTCACGTTCCAGCCGTGAAGGCAGCCCAGGGTACATAGTTGATCCTCCAGAAAGCACAATATGCTTATAGAATTCAGATCTAGAAAGAAACAACAGACATTTTCAGGGTTTCTGTTATTTGTCAGCTTTAAGGGGTTGTCGTAAGAATAAAAATTCTGTATGTAAAGCAAATAGTTCAATGTTTGCTTTAATTGCTAGGTAACAAACTCTCTACATACAAAATCTTTATTACAATTTTGATTAAAATGCTTCGACACCACATAACACACGTTCTTGCTAACATACTTTAATGATGTCAGTGATGTGTTTACATTATGAACTTCCACAATATCACCGAGTCACTGGGATGTGATTGCTAACAATAATTAATCACATTCTGTTATGATCTGACTTCTTGTTTATCAAGTTTCCCATTTACTTTTTCTAAATTTCTCTTTTGTTTCTTTGCTTTAAAGCTGTCTGCTATTGTTTTGGTCCCTTCTTTCTTCCTTAAATATCAAACCTAAAATAACTGCTTATGTAGTAAAAGTATTTAATAGCATATATGTGAGGGTCTGAAGAACTCTCCTCATATTGAAGCTCTCGGCAGATGTGCGTCTTGGTCTCTAACAGCTTTCCAGCTTTTTACTTAACTCCAAGTTCTCAGAAGGGCTCTCTATGGCTGAGTCTATTGTAATTGTAGCTTCTAGAAGAGCAGTGTTTTTATACTTAATTTTGGCTTTAAATACACATTAGATACTGAACGTAGCAGATGCCAAGGTGCTGAAGTATAGCTACATGAGACGTGTGTGTTTACATGTGCACCTTCATTAGGTAGACCACCCAAAGCGCAGCATTGGAGCTGTACCACTTTTCATTGCAAGCTCTTTGGAGAAGCTAATGAACCTGTTTCATGTTCTTTAGGAATCCCAAAACTTGATCACCACCAACAGGCATACTTTGTCAAATATAATTCCCAGTGATCATTAAGTCAAGGGGAAAAACTATTACTTAAGTCCTACTATTGAGAATTTATCAAAATTATGATTAAATTCTTATATCATCTTCTACTAGGTTTACAAAGCTGCTGTCAATCTCAAGAACTACTATTCTCATCAATTTGTTTTATTATCTTGCTCCTCAGTTGTTTCACCAAAATTGGTTTGGTTGGTATTTAATTTAGGGTGAAAAACATCAATCAACAGCTGCTTTACAAAGTGCTTCTAGGTAAATCTTTCTATAATCTGGATATAGGAGAGAGGTCTCAAATTTCAGATACAATAAAAGAAAAGATCTATGGTCACGAGTAAATAAGAACAATGGGCTCAAGTGTAGCTAGCATTTGTGAGGCTGGCGCAAGACGGGGCGCTGTTTTGTTCTGGTGCACACAGGGTCTCTATGAGATGGAACCAACTCAACGGCATGTAACAACAACAACAAATAAAAATAAACTTCTACTTCAGCAAAAGGCAGATGACTAAAGAGAGAAATACCTGCAACAGATATCACACAGTTAACAGCAAAAGAATTTAAAACATTAAAAGTCAATAAAGACGAAAAAAAACACAAAAGAGCAGGGAAAAGTCATGAACAGTTTAACCAAAAAAAAAGTCCCATAAAAATAGTTCTTGTTATTATGTGCTGCCAACTTGGTTCCGACTGATGATGTCTCTATATAGGGTTTTCATGAGTGGCCAGTGGGTCTGAAGTGCCAACCTTGCAGCTAGCAGACCAGTGCTAATCCTACAGCAGCACACCAGGGCTCAAAAATGGCCTATAAAACATAGGAAAAAATGTTCAATTTCACTGTTAATGGGTGATATGAAAATTAAACTGCACTGAGATGTCATTTCTCACTTATCAGAGGGACATAAAAGTACAAGACTTGACAAACTGTGAAAATGGCTGTGGGGAAGCAGGGACCTCTCACACTACTGGCAGGAAGAAGAAACTGAATCCATGGGTCCAACAATTCTTCTGAAAATGTATGCAGAATGATGTGTGTGTATGTGTATATATATATTTATTTATACACACTCGCCCAAAAGAGTCCTGGTGTAGTGCTTATAGGCTGAGCACTCAACTGCAAAGTCCGTTTGAACCACAAGGTCAGCGGTGCAAGCTTACCAGTCACTCCTCGGAAACCCTATACAGGATCACTAAGAGTTGGAAATGACTCAATGACATTTTCCAACAGCATACATGTCCAACAATCCAAAAACACACTTATGCACACAGGGTACTAAACTGTATGTAGCACTATTTGCTCTCATAAATACTGGAATAGATCTAAATAATAGTGAATCATAAATTTACTGAATAAACTGATACATTTTCACAAGGAAGTACTATTCAACTGGAAAGAAATCAAAGAGGAAAATTTCCTATGAAATGATACAGGATGATTTAGGATATATGAGGTGGCTTCAAAAAGTTCGTGGAAACATGGAACTGAAAGAGAGTGGAATTTTCCCATGAAATTTTTGAAGCCTCTTTGTACTGTTAAGTGAAAAAAGCAAGTACGGGTACACTACCTTTTGAGCATGAAAGAGGAAATAAGAAACATAGAAAGGATAAACCAGAAAATAATGTGGAATTATTTACAAGAGGGAGGAGGATTGAGGTGGAAGACAAGGGGAAGGGGGCAGTTAAGAATTCTGAATATAAATTTTTTGTATAGATTTAATTTTTGAAATCATGTTAATATTAAACATACTAAAAATAAAGATAAGCCAAGAATATTCTTAATCCACAAAATAGAGTATGTGCAAATAAAAATGGGGTATGTCAAAGGATACAGGAGCCAGCTTGAAGTGGCTCTGGATAGCTACCTCAGGGACAATTTGAGCATCAAAATAAAGACAGTAATAAATTAAAACCGACTGAATTCACAAGACCATACTGATAGTAGATGTTGTTGCTAAGTGCCGTCAAGTCTGATTTGTAGCAAACATGTGTAGGGTTTCAGAGGCTTTAAAAAATTGTGGGAGAAGAAAGCCTCATCTTTCTCCTTACTGATACTGGAGAGATGAAGGAAACACACTTGTTTATGGGAGAATATTAACTAACTGATATAGAAGGGATGATGGAGCTAGAAAACTGCCATCTTGTAACCATCACAATAAAAATAATTTAGGTCAAGATTCCTAAAGATGCTAAAAAGGGAATGAAATGATAAAGTTTGATGGGGAGGAGATTTCATATTCTCAAATTTTTTCCCCACGAATCACTTATTATGAAAGGAAAATTAATGTAACTATTCAATGGAGAAGCAGGAAATTTCATTACAAGTTGAAAATGAGCATCACTTGTAACGGCCAAAAGACACCAACCACATCATCTGGAGGTCATACTCTGAGAAGTACCCATCACACATGTAGTATTGTTGTTACGTGCCATGGAGTCAGCTCAGTATAGGATTTCTGAGTGGGAGCAGAAAACTTCCTAGGAGCAGCTCGAACTGCCAACCTTGTGGTTCACAGTTCAGTGCTTACCATACGGACCCAAAACTGCACAACCTGAATCTAACCAAACTGAGGCGAATTCTCCTAAACTGTCGTATACTCTTCAAAGATGTCAATATTGTGAAAACTGAGGAAATGATACCAGATAAAAGAAGACCAAGACAGCTACTGGAGTATCTAAGTTAAAAGACTGATCATACCAAGCGTTGATAATGGTGTGGGGAAACTGGAACTTGTATTCATTCATGATGGGAATATAAAATGGCACAGCCACTTTGAAAAAGTTTGGCAGTTTATTAACAAATTAAATATAGGGTGAACATCAGTCACCACGACTCTGAGATCAGATAATTAGATGGTTCCTGGCCACCACTACCAGCTGCTTTGAAAGGGATCACATCAGAAGATACCAGACAGAGTGGAAGAATACGTGTAACAAAATACAAAAATTATATTAAAAAATTTTTTTTAAATGATTGGGCTTACTGGTCATAAAGACATTAGAGAAACCCAAGACTATGGGCCTTGACCACCCTTCAAGTCTGAAATGAACTCACCCTCAAGGCACAATTTTCAGCCAAGCACTAACTAGGTATATAGGCGGGACAACACTAATAAGGTATTGCTTGCCATGGAATGGTCAATCATTCAAGATCTAAAGGGCAAAGTTTAAGTAAGTACAAAGTTGAGAAGGGATGGGAAGGAGGGTGGAATGGAAATAGGAACTATAGGGAGAAAGTGGGATGACTGTTTTTTGCATGGAGAGGATCACAATCACTGAGATGAAACCAAGTGATCTGTTGACTGTAAAGCTAATGATCTTTTCTGTAAACCTTCACTCAATTCACAATAAAAGTAAATAAAAAATTTTAAATAAAAAAAAAAAAAAAAAAAAGAAGACCAAGAGACATGATGGAGCATGATGTGGCACTGTAGGATAAGCACTGGACTACTAAACTTAAGGATGGTAATTCAAACCCACCAGCTCCTCTTTGGAAACCATATGCAAGGTTGCTATGTGTTGGAAATGATTCGACAGCACTTAACAAGAGACACGACAAGGAGGCCTGGTGACACAATAGTTAAGTGTGTTACTGCTATCCAAAAAAGGCCAGTGGTGTGACTAGAAAGCAGTTGCTCCAGAGGAAAGAGGTCTGCTCCCATAACAATTACAGCAAGTTCTATTCCATCACATGGCGTTGCTATGAGTTGGAATCAACTCCGTGGCACATAACAGACGTGACAGTTAAATACAATGCGTGATTCCAGATTTGATGCTAGTGTGGAGGAAATGATATAAAGGGCATTTGTGGAACAATGGACACAGCTAAAATATAGATAGTAAATAAAAGTATCTAAAAAATAAAGCTTCTGAACTCAATATCCACACTGTGATTAAATAAGAGAGTAACTTTGATCTTTAGAAATACAAATAAACATTAAGGAATGAAGGAGGCTGAAGCATGCAACTTTGAAACAGTTCAGGGAAAAAAAGAAGAGGATGATAAAACAAACATACAGATTCTAGAAAATAGTGACACTGGGTTAAGGATATATACGTATTTTATTATTCTTGCAACTTTGAAGTTTGGTATTATTTCAAAGTAAAGTTTAAAGGGGTTTCTAAGACACAATGATATAATGTTGCCCAATGTTCAGTGCCACTCTATCAAAAATCATTTTGCCTGATCTAGCTAAAACCACAAATGTAGTAACACAACTTGGTTGTTCTGCAACCACCTTTGAAGCCACCTCTAAGCACCACTTCTAATATACCTGGTGTCAATGTCAGCCGCTTGGATTGTGTTAAAAAGCAATTCTGCAACACCCACTCCTTCCACGTTGATTAAGTGAGGCTGGAACAGAGCTTCGGGTGCTTCAAATCTCTCTCCCCCAACCTTAATTATGCGGCCATCCGGGAGCTAGAAACCAATGACAGCCAGAACCTAGTCAGCAGAGGATTAAAAAACTCCCTAAACAGTGTTCTGCACAACATTAGAACTTTTAAATACATTTATATGGTAGACAAAATTGATATCAGAAACATTTTCTTTCGAAAAATTGTGTCGGGGGAACAACACATGGTAAAACACAATTTAAAACATGCAGATGTTCTCATTACCATGTTCTGTTCTGGTATGCTCTAAATATCAAGAACCCCAGGAAAATGCTGGAGAGTTCAATAATGCACACACTATTTAAAAATCTACCATTCTTAAATAGTCAAAGCTCAGACAGTCAAAGTAACCAATCAAGTACTGAACCCTGTCTGTCGCTGGTAGGTGTTGGTGCTACTTGTCTTGTAATCTCAACACATGTGATTTTATGGATATGTTTACCATGTAGAATAGAAATATTAAAGAAAATTCTTTCACCAAATACTCTATGAAACTTTACTATTCTGCCACGAAAACCCTTTTTATACATACATGTTTTGATGGCAAAATAGTGTCTGCTTCTGCCAAATTATTTAATTCAAAATGTGTTTTATGATAAAAAATATTAAAGGGACACTGGGCATACTACTTCCAATTAGGTAAATATGTTATATCCTATTTACTATGCCATATTAAATTTTAAACAACTGATACACAAAATTTTAATTTAAGCTTAGATAACAGCTCCAATGTCATAATAAGACTGTGCAGAAAACTCTTAGGTCACAACATGTTTATATTTAATCAAGTGAGAAATGGTAAGTGAAAACTCCCTCTTCTATACCACCACCCCACAATTCATTAAACTGATCTAAGTAACAAGCACTGGCAAAGTCTGCTGCTAGATGACGTCTTTTTGTGAGATACCAGAGTTAGTTTTACATGAACATTTCTAACAATACATTTACTTATAATAATATAATCATATTGCATTTAGATTCTAAAATTAATTTCCCAGATTGATAAAGGATCACCAAAGTAAATGCTCTGAAGACAATTTGTTCCATGCTTTTTATAACTGTTTACAAATATGTGCAAACCAATCATATTTTTTTAAAGTCTAGAATTTAAAAAACCCCAAAAAAGTAAAAAAACTTAGTATATTAGCAAGTTATCAGCAAAAGTAACAACTTATTATTAAGGCAGTTATTGTTGTTGAGTGCCGTTGAGTCGATTCTGACCCATAGCGACCCACAGTACAGGGTTTCCAAGGAGCAGTTGGTGAACTTGAACCGCCGACCTTACAATTTAAACAGCTTTGCAGTCTGGTACATTAACCCACAGCGCCACACCAGGACTCTAGTTATTAGCAAAGTCCTTTTTCCCATGCACTTCCAGAATCTCTGGCATACGTGGCCTCTCTGAATGCTATGGCCACTGGCCAGCATGGGATCCCAGTTTTTCACCTTCCTCTAAAACAAGTAAGACTGACTGATTCTCTTTTCTTTGTCTGACCTGGTTTCTCCTCTTCAGTTTTTCATCACGTTATAGTTTTATATTTGTAACCTATTTCAAATTCTTTGAGAAAGGAGAGAAAAAATAACATGTATCCTCATCCTTTGCCTTGGGCTACTTTCTTCCAAAACAAGTTAGACAAGTAAAAAATTGGAAATTGAGGGAAACTGTCAAGGAGACTTCTGAAGATAAGTGGGCAACTCTGAAAACAATTAAGATGCAAAATAGGGTTTGTGGCCTGTTTGGATTGGTATCTTAAAAAAAAATTATAAACCTTTTATACTATTCCTAAACTTATTCAAAATAATTGTTTGCACATAATTGTGAATTATTTACAGTTAAGATGAATCAAATGGTTTAAGAAAACTTGTTTTTACTGCCTGTTAGTCTAGTTTGTTTTAGTCATAATGAAATCAAGAAGCTAACTCATTAAAAATTCAGGCAGGATCAACTTCCCTAGTGTTATTTATAGACAATAACTAGTTCTATGTCTCATTAGTTACAATTTCAAGTTAACATTTGTTTGGATCAACTCATTAAAAATATTAAATCAGGAAAAGACTGCCATCTACTGAATTATTAAAGAAATACTCTAGGATGACCACTTTCCAAAGTAGATAGCCCCATGAAATGCTGGAGAGTTCTGAGGAGTAATAAATTTGAGAAATAGCCATATTATAATCTGGCAGTCTTATAAATATGAATTAGCATACCGAAGACTCTCAGAAGTCCTGCATCCAAACATAACCTACTATGTTCCAAACTTACATGATGATGAGGCTTTTTAAAATTTCTGTGACTCAATTTTATCAATACATTGGGAAAATACATTCTGTAAAAGGTTGGAAAATGCTAGTCCAGATAATAAATTTTCAAGATAATATCTCATTATTTAATTATATCCCATGGTGGTGGTGGTAAGTGCCATTAAGTGACCTGACCCATAGGGACCCTATAGATCGTTTTAGAAGCTTTACAACTTTTCAGGATCAGAGTCTCATCTTTTTCCCATGGAGGTAGAAAAGTATATATTGAACACCAAAAATACTTACAGTATAAGATTCAACTAACACTGTGGTTTCTAAGGCCAGCTTCTGCTCTTGCTCAATATTATACCCCACATAACACAGCTTTTCTTTAATCATGCGGACAGTTTCAAAATCAGCAGAATGGTTGAAGGCATAGCCTCGCAACAGAAGCAGCTGTTAAAAAAAATAGCAGTAAGTTCACAACAGATCTGAGTGCGTTCAATCTGCAACAGCTGTCGTTATTTGCTAAATAAGTCACGGACTTGCCAAATACAACAGTTCTTACCAAATATTTGAGAAACTGGGATTTTACTTGCCATAAAAGAATTTCTATTTCAGTTTCATAGATAGTAACAAAATTAAAAGTTTATGAATAAATAGATAAAACAAGCTACAATACAAAACAAGTTCATTTTCTAAGTCAAAGTATCATTTAAAGTTTAAATAGTTTTGATGAGAATCGAGTCTCTTAATAACTGGCATTATTTCAGTACTGGGCTCCTATAATCAAAATGTACTCAGACAATGAATTCCATATTTATGAAATAGAGCAAGGCACACTGTATAGGGTTTCTGAAGCTGTAACTCCTTAAGGGAGTGGAAAGTCTCATCTCTCTCCTGCGGAGTAGCTGGTGAATTCAAACTGCTAAATTTGTGGTTAGCATCCCAAGGCATAAACCACTATGCCACCAGGGTTCCTGCCCATGCAACCGAGCTAGGTCTTACTAAATTTTATCCCTACCTTCTCTTATTGTGCCTAACACATATTAGGAAGGCAACTGTTGTTATTGTTAAGTGCCCTTGAGTCAGTTCCAACCCACAGTGACCCTGTATAAAGTTGCAGAGGAGCGGATGGTGAGCTTGAACCGCTGACCTTGAGGTTCAAACATACTTTGCAGTCCAGCACAAAATTAACCTGCAGAGCCAAGCAGGAAGGGCAATAGCATTTGTGAAGCAAATGAATGCAAAGAGAACTGTTGGGCTACTAGATGGCAGAATCACTGAAATGTTAACATTACTTAAATGTCAGAAACTAATACTATTTAAAAATCAAACTGCAATGAAACAATGACTGTAAAACTGATGTTCTCCCATATAAGCTCTCACTCAATTCATAATTAAAAAAAAAAAAAAATCAACCTGCTGTAAAAATGAACAAAACAACCAATATATGCATTATCATAAACACAAGTGGATTTTTCCTATAAAAGCTTTAACAAATAACTCCCCAATGCTTGCATTTATGTACAAGACTCCTAGAAACACCTTTGGTGGTTATCCTCAGACAGAATTTTGGCCCAGTTAATTCTCATTACCTTAATCTGCCCAAGTGATAAGGATGACTGTAAAAGAGAATAACGGAACCCAATGTCAAGGTGAAGACTTAATGAGACCCAAATTAATGCGAAGGCATCACCCTCAGACAGGTACCTGCTCAATAGCTGCACCATTGATGGTTTGGCCCCAGCTCTGTTGGTGGAGGGGGGAGCTGTCCTGGCAACTGAAGGGTGGACTCTACCCATTAGATGCCAGTAGCACCCCTGCCCAGTTATGACAACCAAAATTGTGTCTAGACATTGCCTAGAAAACAGCACAATTCCTAGAGATACATACTGACCAGAGAATTCTGGGAATGTATTAGTTTAAACTTTTAAAAACATGTATTAAAAGTTATCAATAGCTTGTCATGA